TTTTTTGGTGATGGCAGCTTACGGCCCGTTTTCACTGAGTGATATGGTACGGTACAGTTCGGTATGCTTTTATGGTCATTTCCACTATCAAAAGGTACCTAAAAAAGTGAACAATATAGTGCCACTTTTTTGGAAACCCTTTGCAAAGGGTACCAACAAAAGGGTACCAAAAAGCGGAGCTAGACGTACAGCTGAATGATATTGGTCTACAGAAAACAGGTACCGCCATTTTTAAATACACAGCCTAGTCTAGGCTAGGCATGAGACGATAAACATTTTCAAGGTATATCGCGGTTTATAAAAGTCAAAACTGTTTTACGCGGGTTTTAAAACTGTCAAATTTTTCTGCAATACAGTTCCTGAGGTATGTATATGATTTTTTATTTACATTTATTTTGCTGTTTTGTTTTTTAGGGAAAACTGCATCTTCAGCAAAAAAAGATATCTGAAGATCCCATTTTAAAATGTAAAAGAATCTGTTTTTAAAATAAATGAAGACAGCAGTAGTCAATAATTGATTTAGCCTGACATGTTTACTCTTCCAAAATATTTTTTTTAAATGTTTCTCTAAATAAAATATACCGTTTTCAAAGGGAAAAAAAGTTTTTGTTTTTAACCCAGACATTTAAAAAGAATATATTTTAGAGCAGTAATCACAATACCGTGATGCCGTGAAATTTGAATATCAGAAAATTTACCGGCCCATGCCTAGCCGAGACATTACACCGTAATAATATATACATAAAATAACAAACCATGGTTGACCCGAGCCCAAACAAACCTTGTCGTCGTCTTGATGAACAGCCACAAAGCCAGAAAGAAGAGCAGAATCTACCCTGTGCCCTGTAGTTTTTTTTTACAAGGCAGTCTAAGGCGCAAGCAGTTTCGCTTTCTTACAGGCACTCGTTGCGCGTTTATATTTGAAATAACAACTTCTTGACCTGATGATAATAATGCCCGCATTTTATTGAAATGCTTCTGACATCCAATCCTATCAGAAATAAACAAACGTGAGAGTGAAGCATGAAAAAACAAAGGAAAAGCCGGAAAAAACAAAGGAGCAAATGTTTCTTTCAGCAACCTAAAATATGAACAAACTGCCATGTTTAACTATTATCATCACCTTTTGGACTTTTATGAACTTGAAATGATGGAATTAGTCTCTAACAAGAGGTTACATGTGCTGGTGAAGATTAAAGATACAGATGTGAGGTTTGCACTGACTGTAGGCTATATGTTGCCTGTTGTTTTTAAACCCAAATAAGGACTAAATGTATGCTGTGTGTAGTTTTTCTGTAATTGGTATTATATCGGAGACTGTAAGGGTCTGTATGTGTTCATATGTTGCATTTATTTACAGTAGTTATTTAACAGTTAACAGTAACAGTTAACAGTTCTTTAGTTACAGTAGGCTATTTCACATCATTGACCTGCAGTTATAATTAAATCATGTTCATAGAAAGGTTAGTAATGAACATTTATACACAAGTATTTATGTGTATAAAGCATCTGTTTCGTGAGGAGTGCTTCTCATTTGATATGTGAACGAACTGTACAGCTTTACTTTAACATTTCCTCGAGCATGATGTCGACTGAAACTTTCTGCAGTACACCACGCCCTCCAAAAGACTACCATTGGTACCCTTTTAGCAGTGGAAACGCAAGCCTGATAAAGGTGACCCGTACCGACCCGTACTGTACCACTCAGTGGAAGCAGGCCATTAAAGACGTTTCTCATATGGAGAATGAAGTCACAAGAACTGCTCAACTGTAAATTTTTCACAGACTTCAACAGTGTACAAATCTTGATGATTCTGAAGGCCTCATCTATCAAATCTGATCTTCAATTTGTGTTTACTATTGGATTCAAGTCAGGTGATTGGCTGGGCCATTCTACAGCTTTATTTTCTCTCTATCAAACCATTTGAGAGTTTCCTTGGCTGTGTTTGGGTCATTCTCTCGCAGAAATGATGAAAAAAGATCAAGCAACCAACAAAAATATCCTGTTGTTCGTTGTTTTAAGGGTAGAGACTCGGATTACAAAGGAAAAGATATGATTTATCAGGTATGTGCCTTATCTTGACATTAGTTTTAGTGTTTGTTGAGTTCGCCTGGACGGAAATCCTGCCTGCTGCCAATCCATTTAATCCTTTTAACATGATCAGGTTTTGAATGAATGACACAGGATTTTCAGTCTTAGGTCAGAGATTAGAGAGAGAAAGGGATGCCAAAATGAATTTATATAGCAAGTAAGAATTCTGTTTTATCAAAAAGTAAAAGAGGGTGCTGACTGGATAGGAATTTCCACACTTCCCAAAAAATGTGAAAACAAATGACCTCACATACAGTACATATGACATGCAGGTAAGAAGATAAAAGAGCTTTAATACACCGTACTAAAGGATGAGGTCAGAAAATCTGATTAAAATCTGATTAACAGCCACACACTGAACCACAGAAGATTTACTACAGGGTCACTAAAAAACAATCCATTATTTTCATCTGCTTTAATCCATCTTGGTGAACTCGTTATTCTCATACGTCAATTTCTAAATCAGAACTTCTGTCATGTTTGAAAGCAAAAATATTCAAGGAGAAATGTTTTAGATGACAGATATAGATGCACTTGTTTTCTGAAAACTATGTGGTAAGACTTAGTAATGTTTTTTAAATACATTGTCTCTAATAAGCAGTAAATATAAGAAATATTATTCAATCATTTATTAATTTTCCTTTAGCTTAGTTCCTTATATATCAGGGGTCGCCAAAGCGGAATGAACCGCCAACTATTCTGGCATATGTTTTATGTAATGGATGTCCTTCCAGGCACAACCCAGTACTGGGAAACACTCATACACTCCAGCATTCACACACACACACAATTTATTTATTTATGGTCAATTTAGTTAATCCAATTCACCTATAGTGCTGGAAGGGCATCCGCTATGTAAAATTTATGCCTTAATAGTTGGCGGTTCAGTCCACTGTGGCAACCCCTGATATATAAAGGTGATTTTGTAATAAGAGATCACGTGCTTTGGGATGAAATTAATGGACAAACCAGTTGACTGGCCACATTGTAAAACATCTGAAATGTTGTTTTGGTCATTATAAAATCAACCCAGACTCATTCTGAAAACGTAGTCCCGTGGACGTTTCTGGAGACCGCAAAATACTTCCCGGGAGGTACGTATTTTTGCAGTTTTTGTTTTCGTGAATCCAGGAGTGGCAGCTGTGCACGCTTTTTCATATCTCAAATGTCTCCCGCGAGTGCTGTTCTCGCGTAAACCTACCAGAGACTGCTGTTGACCGACCGTCTGTCTGACTGGCTGAATGACTGACTGGGCGACCGGCCAATCGACTGACCCACGCTTCTCCTTCCCTAAACCCAACCAGTTTTACAGATTGACCCGCCCACCCACTTACTTCCCTAAACCCAACCAATGATTTACAAAAGCCGTCTAAAAAAAGAAAAGCCCTCATCTGAATTGTACTACGTCTTCAGATTTTACCATATTCTCACCCTGTTATTCACTTGTTAATTTTTTTTTTTGGATTTTGTTTTTGTCTTACCTGATTTCTGGAACCGCTCTTCCCCGGACTCGAACACGGTCATGGTCATGGTGGTCAACTCCTCTCTGTGTTTTAAGTCCGCCGTGGTACACGACAAGCTAACTGGACAAACTGGTTGCAGCTGGAAAGCCTTACACATGGAGGTAAGCCGTCAGCCGGTAAGCGCAAAAAGGAACACCGTCATATCGCCCCGTAGCGTTCGCTTAAAAACTGAAATGCAGCCATACGTACCTACGGCTACATAATTCGCGGTCTCCAGAAAAAGTCCACGGGACTACATTTCTAAATGAGTCTGTGTTGTCTAAAATCCCTCAGCCAAAGTCCATCATCAATGTGATTAAGCATTTTTACCTCCTGAAGTGTCTTAAGCGTCTGCACTCCCAAAAAGCGTCTCACACCTCCAAAAGCCATTCACATTTATTACATTTCAGCTTTGTTTTCTGAGACGCAAGTTATTTATTATGTAAGAAAAAGTGCTTCTCCTACTACAGCAAATTCCATTTTTCTCATGGATATTTGGTGCCAGTTTAACAGAAAGTGATGATTTTGGATGGGAAATAGTGCTTGATTTGCAAATGTTTTATGCAATTTTCCAGTCTTGCGCATAAGTTTAAAAGTTCACGAAACATCAAAACACATTTTTAAGATGTTGACAGTCATATATATGTCCCAAGTTGCTTAAAACACTATTAGGACACATATATTTAGCTAACATGTGAAAATTGGTTGTTTTGCATTGTTTAGAGCAAATTCGTTCTTCCGATTTAAAAATAGTTTTTTAAAGCAACATCACAGCGAGGAGATCATTGTATAAATTTCAGCGTGGAGATTGGATGTCTGTACCGGCCGGTACAAAGTGACATCATTCAGTTTTCAGCACATCTGTTCCATAATTGATGAGATAGACTTGGTTCGAACCAATCAGCACGCTCTATTGTGAACAAGATGCAACTTCATTAATATGCATGATAGCTTTGAAGACTCCTTTTACCTGTTACAGTGTTCAGAGAGACGCCACGTTGTGTTGCCAACCGTAATTCAAACAAGTAGTAGAAGAATTGTTCGGAGACATGGGTCGTCAGTGTTGCTTTTATAAATGTGCTTCAATGAAGTATTTGTTTCCATTTCCCCATGATGCGAGCACCGCTGGCATCTAGCTAACACGCGACAAAAATATTTTTGTAAGAAACATTTTTTACCCGAGAGCTTTTCCAATCTGGATATTGCACAATCTGGATTTGGCACTCAACACCATTTCAGTTCTTGCTGACTGTCCTGTCTTTACAGATTTGGTAAGTGTGTGATCAATGTTTTTGTTTATGTTTATTCTGAGGCAAATCTAGTTAGTATCATCAGCAGTACTCTTTCAGTTTTTGAAGATTAATACATTGAATACATTGGTGAAAATGATTTAGTTACAGTACAGTAATATCACTAAATATTATGGACTAAAAATCCTCCACTTCCACACAGCTATATCCGCTATATATTTCCCTTGCGTCTCTGTTTGAGTGCCACTGTGAAAATAACACGTGTACGTAATGAAACACCCCTTTTCATGCAAACCCTTCCCTCTTTCGCCACTCAACAGTCTCACCTAAACAAAGCTGGACTCACCCACTTTCCTGACTTTTTTTTAAACTAGCGGTGTGAAAACACCCTGCTGAGATAAGGGGTTTCACTGCCCTTTCATTTGCATCTTTGGATTTAAACACAGGCCCTATTTATGCTTATACGTTTTAGTTTTAAAACGGTGTTTTACAATGAAAACGATCTGCATTTCACCTAGCGTTTTTGAACAGTTCTCCGTCCACATTACACTGTTGAAAAACAAACATCACGTGACCCCACACACACACTCTGGCATGCACTTGAGCGATGAGAGCTGTGCACGTGGGACTGCTCATCAAGGATCTACATCTGGATCCGATCTCACTATATTTGTTAAACGTGATATTTAATTCATCTTGTTGTCTCTATCTAACGACATATTCCCTGACTTTGGTCTTTTGAATCTATTACTTGTTCTCAGGTAATGTGTTTTGACTGAGTGCAAAGATAAGTATATTAGTCAATGTAACCACGTCCAGAATCTGCAAATTTGACTGATTGCTGGACTTTATTTGCTATATTGAAAAAACTTACTGTACGTTATACTTTTACAACAGCCATTATTGATTATTAAAACTGATATCTAGCAAAAGAGGGAGTATGTTTTGTATTTTCAATTGGCAGTAATGTTATAGGCTCCATTTTGTTATAAATATGCATACAGTTAAGATGACGCTCATATAAATTTTTAGCAACATGACGCCTCAGACATTTTTGGTGTCTGTTAAGTTGCTAACATTAAAACGAAAGTAGACTGTTCCTTGTATCTTATTTTCATTTTATTGTAAAAAAAAAAAAAAAGTGAAAGAACATATCCAGGGTGATGCGAATGAAATTATAAATTACTCTGCTCCTTTTAAAAGATTTACTCCACGTATCCTCGGGAGTTTGTTTTCCATATCAAACTTGCAAAGTCTGAACTTACAAGGAGAGGATGCAAGACTGAACTGTGTTTAGGCTACTTAATATTGAGGAAAAAGCCTCAATCAAATAGCTGAACGTCTGCAGTCATGCCTTCGTTTTTACATGTCTCAGTTTTCCCAATCAACACTGACACGTAGCAGAAGCGTTTTAAAACTAAAATGGCCTCTTCAGCTTTTTAAAAAGCTTTTCAGTGCTCGAAAACTCTGGCGTAGTTCGGACATATGGCGTAACCATAGCAAAACTTATGCGTTCTTAAAACTAAAATGTATTAGTGTAAATGGGGCCTGAGACGTGTTTGTTACGTGTTGATAGACAGAATAACTCAGATAATTGAGGATAGGACAGGATTGTAAGTCACAATAGACCCTTAAAAAAACGAAATAAATAAACATATCCTTCGGCCTTTATATCCATCCATATACAGATGAAGCCCGAATTATTAGCCCTCCTTAATTATTAACCCTTCTGTATATTATTTTTATATACAACTTCTATTTTTCAACACATTTCAAAACATAATAGTTTTAATAACTCATTTCTAATGACTGATTTCTTTTTATCTTTGCCATGATGACAGTAAATAATATTTTACTACATATTTTTTAAGCTTAAAGACCAATTTAAAGGCAATTTAAAAGTTAATTAGGTTAAAAAAAATACCTAATAAAACATATTAATTTTGACTTAAACTCTATATCAATAAATATATTATTTTCGTCCAATTTCACTAATTGTAGCTGGCAATGATTCAAAGAAAATTATGGTTAAGCAGTGAGTAAAGCTCCAGCTATTTCACACACACGTCACTGTGTCTGTTTCAGAGCAGCAGCCCCAGCTAATGCTAGAACTAACAGCAGGGTTTAGACTTGTTTTATTAATAACCCTTACGCCCGTCTGGCTCTCTGACACTGGCTTGTCAGGAGAGATGCTAACATTTCTGCCCACAGTCGTCCTCACGTGCTTCGCACACTTCAAGTTTTGCTGCTAATTTGAGAGCTCTAATAATAGGTCGACATTAGGCGGGTTGAACATCTACTGGATATGCACTGATTAAAGTCTCACATGAAGCCAAATGAAAATATTACCTGGAGGAGATGATAGGAAACGTACCTGTCTGTGGTTGTCACTGTAAGGCCTCTTGATGGACACGAAATGACGGATTTTTCTGGAAGATAAGGAAATAATTATTTTTGACTGATTTGTTGTGGCAAATTTGGAAAAATAAAAAAAATTAAAAAACTACAATAATTGAAAAGGCACGATTGCAATACCACAGAAATGTTTCTTTTTGTCATTTTCAAGTGTCATTCAATGTAAAAAAAAACTATAAAAAATATTTTAAAAATATTGAAATAAAAACAAAAACATTCATTAAAAATATTATTATAAAACTCTTACATGAGACCTGCTATTTATTTGGAACATAAAAATAAAATATAACATGAATAAACACAATAAAATAATAATAAAACACACAAACACACACACACACACACACACACACACACACACACACACACACACACACACACACACACACACACACACACACACACACACACACACATATATATATATATAATATTAACAACATTATATATTAAAATATCTTTACTATAATTTGCATTATTATATTATTTTTAATTGTATTATTTTTTATAAATGTTAAATTAATGCTAATTATTAATCAATATTAACATGACATTTAATAATAATTATTATTATTATTATAGTTTTTAAATGTATTATTATTATTAATAATAAATGTTAAATTATTGCTAATTATTAATCAAGAAATGTATTTAATAGATGTATTTATAAATACATGTAAAATATACAAACATCATATAATATTAACATGACATTTTATTATTATTATTATTTTTTATCATTATTATTTTAGTTTTTATTATAATTATTATTTATTATTTATAAATGTTACATTAAATCTATTTTTGTATATAAATGTGTTTATTAGATGTATTAATAAATTAATGTAAAATATACAAAAATCATAAAACATTAACATGACATTTTATTATTATTATACTTTTTGAATGTTATTATTTTTATTATTATTATTATTAATAATAATATTTATAAATGTTCAATTAATTCTATTTATTAATCAATAAAGCTATTTAATAGATGTATTAAAAAATAAACACAAAATACACAAAAATCATATAACAGGAACATGAAATGTTATTATTACATTATTATTATTATAGTATTTAATTTATTCTTATTCTTATTTATAAATGTTAAATTAATAATAATTATAAATCAACAAATGTATTAAATAGATGAAATAATAAATAAATGTAAAATACACAAACATCATATAATATTAACATGACATTTTATTACTATTATAGTTTTTAAATGTTATTATTAATGTTATTATTATTATTATTATTATTATTTATAAATGTTAAATTAATTCAAATAATTAATCAATAATTTTTAACAAATGTATTAATAAATAAATGTAAAATACACAAACTTCATATAATATTAACATAAAATTGTTTTATTTTGTTAATTTATTTTATATATTTTTTTATTAAAAATTAACACTAATTATTAATCAACAAATGTATTTATTAGATGCATTAATAGATAAGCGTAAAATATACAAACTTCATAAAATATTAACATGACATGTTATTATTATTATAGTTTTTAAATGTTATTATTATTTATAAATGTTAAATTAATGCTAATTATTAATCAAGAAATGTATTTATTAGATGTATTAATAAATACATGTAAAATACACAGACACCATATAATATTGACATGACATAATAATATTATTTATTATTAAACATTAAACATTTAAACAACATATTTATTAAACATTTTATTATTATTATAGTTTTTAAATATTATTATTATTTATAAATGTTAAATTCAATCTAATTACTAATTAATAAATGCATTTAATAGATGTATTAATCAACAAATGTAAAATACATGCACACAAACACACAAATTGATTTTATAATTGACATTTTTCATCACTTTTTTAATAATCATGTGACTCACCCTCCCTGGCCAACCACAGGAGTGATTTTGACATATTGCTGAATACTGTCCCCTGACTTCCTCCTTGAGAAATAGATCCCCTGCCATTCCTGGGCAAACAAACACACATGTTGAACATTCTGTAATGAATTAAGGTTAAAGCAGATACTTTTATGGTGCTCGAATAGGCGTCTGACCTTTCCTTTCTTGATGCAGGTGTTGATGGTGTCCAGCAGGTCGGCGCTGTTCTTGTCACTCCTGGGCAGTTCGGTCAGCTCCTTACCGATCAGTTCTCCTCGATGATAACCCATCATCTTTTCAAACGCTGGATTTACATACTAAAAAACAAACAGAAACATAAATACACCAGCAAGTATTCATAAAAGGGGATATCATGTGGTTTTTATATCTTAAGTTTTTTTGTGTTCACAATATCATAAGCATTATATACAGCTGAAGTCAAAATTATTAGCCCTACATTGATTTTTTTTTTCTTTTTCAAATATTTCCCAAATTAACAGAGCAAGCAATTTTTCACAGTATTTCCTATAATATTTTTTCTTATTATTTTTTTTCCGGATAGAATAAAAGCAGTTTAAAAAAAAAAAAAAAAAAAAAAAAAAACATTTTAGGGTCAATATTATTAAGCCCTTAAGTGATATATTTTTTCGAATTGTCTACTCAACACATATTCATTTTTAATGACTTAATTAATTCTAATTACCCTAACTTGCCTGATTAACCTAGTTGTCTTTAAATTGCACTTTAAGCTGAATACTAGTAACTTGAAAAATATCTCTCTTTACTAGTATCTGGTAAAATATTATGAACTGTCATCATGGCAAAGATACAAGTAATCAGTTATTAGAAATGAGTTACTAAAACTATTATGTTTATATAATAGTATATAACTTCAACTAGATTCAGACACCAGCTAACTTTGCCATTTGAAAACCTTACTGTTAAATTCTTTAAAGAGCAGAACAGTAAGATTCTGGAAGTAAAAACTTGTACATTTTCTTCATAGCCATATCGATTTTTAATAATAATTGATAAACTTTTAAAGACAGGTTCCAGAACACACCCCCTAACTGCATAATCACTATGGGACCGATGGTAGCTCATGTTCAAAAACCAAAACAAACTTCCCAAAAATGGCAAAACAACATTTTTTAAAAATAATTTTGGTAATATTTTGTTTGTTTGTTTGTTTTAAATTGTTTTACTACTGCATCATATCTTAGTCCCTTTAAAAAGTCTACATTTGTTCCTGTTTCGTGTGAAAATCTGTGAAATCATGTAACATGGCTTTTGCAGCATGGGATCCGCTTGATTTATTGATGTGTATTCAATACATTCATGTCTTTAAAACTAAAGGGAACGACACACACACAAAACCATAAATTGGTCACTTAAAGTGACAGTGTGCTCTTCAACTTCCGCCGACTGTTCTTATTATTATTAATCAAACAAAAGACAAAATCTTATAAAACTGTTTTAATTTTTACAGTGAAGATGCTTAAAGCAGGTTTTTTTTCGTTTGCATATTTTTTTCAGTAGCATTTTATTAGTTTATATATTTTATTATTTCATAATTTTGAGGACTTGTTTGTCCCATTCTGCTTAAGCATTGAGAACTGTGAAATAGCAACTTATTTACAGGTCACACTTAATTTTGATGGTCCATTTGTTGAATTTAAGTTACAGTACATTGCATTTACATGGCAACTAATTGACATTATATATATATATATATATATATATATATATATATATATATATATATATATATATATATATATATATATATATATATATATATATAAACGGACCATCAAAACCTGTTATCTATTTACCTTATGATAAAACTGGTAATTGATTTAAATAATTGTAATTACAATTTTGACCAAAACAATCATAATATGCGACAGATTTTTTCCTATATACAGTATCTATCTATCTATCTATCTATCTATCTATCTATCTATCTATCTATCTATCTATCTATCTATCTATCTATCTATCTATCTATCTATCTATCTATCTATCTATCTATCTATCTATCTATCTATCTATCATTCATCCATCCATCCATCCATATGCATATTTTGTGATATTCTTGAGAGACATTTTTTTATAGATACAACCAAAAAGTTTAAATTATTATGAATTTTTATATTTCTCAATTAATTTACAGTTTTTTCTCAGTCGCTTTGGTGCATTTCTCACAACACTACTGCATTTCTGCACAACAGTTAATGCATTTCTCAAAACAATTAGTACAAACTGCAAAACCTAGCTGATAACCTGCAAAAGCGCGTCACATGCTCAAAATGGATAGTTCATTCCTCAAAAGCGAGTATTGATGTCAATGAAAGTGTCAGTGCCATCAAGATGAAAAGTCCTGACACCATTGTTTATGAACAAGAAAATGGCTTTGTCATGTTTTCAGTATGACAGTTTACTCTGGACATCAATGCAAAGAAGTCAGATTTTGGTGACACTTCCTGAAAGTGCTCAAAACAGCACTGTATACTATTCACACAGCCATTTGAAAACTACAGTATAGTTAGACATCACTGCATTTAGTGAGGTATCTAAGTACAAGACTCTGAATATGTATGTTTCACATTTTACTGCAATTCTACTTTACTGCAATTCTAATTTATCCACAGCATTGTGCAAAAGAATAAACACAGCCTTATTTACAACAAACATAAACTTCCTTTGGGTAGAGCTGTGCACAACTGTACACGATATTGCAGGTCATATTGGAACTGAACCTACAACATACACAGGTCTGTAAATCATTCATGAACTGTTCAAATTTGAAGACATTTTCAGGAAAATAAAGATTTACATTTTATATATATATATATATATATATATATATATATATATATATATATATATATATATATATATATATAAAATTTGCTTGACAGATTTTGACAACTAGTTCAACATTTTTGTATGTAATGACTCAAGTAATGAAATGAGGACTATTAGTTTTATATGAAATGACTATTCAGCATTTACAAGTTTAGTTAATAAGCAAATGATAATGTTATAAACAGCAGAGAGTTGTATGAAAGCAATTGATGCATGTCCAAAAGCATTCGCAATTTGTTGGAAGGAATGAGAAACTGCTACTTGGATGTGCACAAATGACTAATTGTTTTGAGAATTAGTTTTGCATTAACTGTTGTGCAAATGGGGCAACCAGTGGCGCAGTAGGTAGTGCTGTTGCCTCACAGCAAGAAGGTAGCTGGGTCACTGGTTCGAGCCTCGGCTCAGTTGGCGTTTCTGTGTGGAGTTTGCATGTTCTACCTGCGTTCGCGTGGGTTTCCTCTGGGTGCTCTGGTTTCCCCCACAGTCCAAAGAGATGCGGTACAGGTGAATTGGGTAAGCTAAATTGTCTGTAGTGTATGAGTGTGTGTGTGTGGATGTTTCCCAGAGATGGGTTGCGGCTGGAAGGGGAATTGGCGGTTCATTCCGCTTTGGCGACTCCGGACTAATAAAGGGACTAAGCCGACAAGAAAATGAAATGAAATGTTGTGCAAATGTAAATAGTGTTGTAAGGAATGCACCAAAACCACTGAGAAAAAACGTAACGTGACTGTGTCATAAGCAATGCTTCCACTCATTAACCTTGTTAAACTCACATCCTTATACATTAGTCTTTTTCTCAGATTTGAATAAACTTCTTTCCCTCAAATCAAAGCTTGTAAAGTTTGCTGGTTGACTGGTTTGTTCATGTCTTAAGTCTTATCACATTACAAATCCCTATGGGAAAAAAATAAATGGAAATGTGGACACACGCTAATGCATTCTCCTCCAGGAAGTTTCTTTGAACAAAAAGAGCCTGCTTTAATGTAAGCAAATCCCAGTAGGAAGACCGTGTTTGTCTCCTAGAACTCACTTGTATGACATGATCCTCACTGCTGATCTCCACGGCCTCCTGACACTGTTCTAGTGCAGTAAACACAGCGTTACAAGCCCTGCAAGCACAGAAACACAAACAAACATGACAGCTTCTGCATCCATCTCACAGCAGCGGCCACAGGCTACATTTAAGCATGTATTTTTGGTTTTAAAATGCACAACTTTTGCTACCGTTACACCTGTAGGATTCAACCCTTGAAAACTTAGGGCTCTATTTTGACGGTCCATGCGCAAAGCGCAAAACGCAAACGCTTTCAGGGCATGTCAGAACGCATTTTTGCTAACTTAAGGACGAGAAAATCCGCTTTGTGCCATGGCGCATGGTCTAAAAGGGTTGAGTTTTTTTCTTAACGAGTTATAGGTGTGTTTTAAGAATAAACCAATAAGAGTCTCATCTCCCATTCCCTTTAAGAGCCAGCTGCGTCGCGCCATAGCGCATTTGCTATTTACATGACGTAAAGTAAGTTCACTTTCGCTTTTGCTCTCATGGATGGGGAAACCTTACCGCACAGACATCAATTAGCCTATAAATAATTAATTTAGTTTGTTAAGCACAAAGATTTGTTTCAAAACTATTTCTAAATTTTGTTCTAATTTCCAGCAAACAAATAAATGATTAATAATAATAAAGTGTGGTCAAAATGCTGAGTTATTTCCAAATATACCTGCTATGCCCCATATGGTCTAAAACCTGACAGGTGGACAAATCTAAGCTTGTTTTTAATAAAACAAATATAAATATGGATATAATAAATAATACTGCTAATAATAATAACATTATACAAAAGCAAATTGAATGAACTGAAAAAGCCTCCCAAGATCAAGAAAGTATAAAGGCAGTGATTTTTAAAAATTCATGTAGGCTAGAAATAAATGTTTTGTAATATTTATATCATTAATATTTATATCCTATATATGTTTTCTTATTATATATATATCTTTAAGATATAATATCTTTTTCATATGTAAAGATATTTGCGTATTGCTCTACATCTTGTGTGTAGTATGTAAGCCAGGTGCACTTTGTGCCAGAAAACAGACTATTTACAGTTTCTCAAAATAGCAACGCGCCTGCTTTTTTAGACCAGAACGCCTATGGGCGCACATTTGAGCGCAAATGCATTTGCTATTTAAACAGTGTGGCGCAACACCTCAAAATGACCCTTGCGCCAAGCTTAAAGTAGTAAAAGACTCTATTGCGCCGCGCCTTGCGCCACATTGCGCCGGGTATATGATAGGGCCCTAAGACTTTTGAAAAACACTGTAGACCCCCTTTTAATTTGAAAACCTGCTCCCTGACTGGCTCATCTGCATATCCTTCCCTGATTCCTCAAACCACGATGATGTGATTATTATGCTGAGTTTTATTTAACATATGATGGCACAAGTTAAAAAACAGATACTGTATGTATATTTGAAAATGCTAAAGCAAATTTGGCTCACATGTTTTGGGAATGCCCCATACTCCGGTTTCCCTCACAGTCCAAATACATGCGCTATAGGTGAATTGGGTAAGATAAATTGTCCGTAGTGTATGTGTGTGAGTGAGTGTTTATGGATGTTTGCAGCTGAAAGGGCATCTGCTGCGTAAAACATATGCTTGATAAGTTAGTGGTTCATTCCACTGTGGCAATCCCTGATGAATAAAGGGACTGCCGAAAACAAAACGAATGAATGAATCTTTTCTTTAGTGAACATGATGTTTTTTCTCTCAGTTGTTGATCGCAAAAAACAGTTATATTTTGTTGTGGTTTTATTTAATAAATGTAAACAGGTTCATAGTAACTTTGTACTATAACTTTAAAGATACAGTACTTTTAGCTAATGACACGTGTTCTTTGGTCGTGTAGTGTGGATGAACATGGGACAAATATGTGTTAGTCTCACCTCAGCTTGAACTGAGCCCGAACCTCTCCGTGCTCCAGCTGGATTAACTCATTATAGCAGGCTGAAACACTGCTGTTCTCCAGGTACCGCTGAAAGACAAGAGCGAGAGATATACTGTATGGATCACTGCATGGATCACACTCTACACATACTGGCCTAGTTTTGTGCGGCCTGCTGAAGTCCAGTGCAGATTTTTTTTTTTCCACTGGGATCAGTAAACAAACTTATCTGCTCTGGATATTTATACTGAAGAACATCTGGGAATTCTATGGGACGTGGAGCTGAACTGGGATGAATGTTAAAATATACAATGTTTCTAGTGAATCACTCTAAAAAACTGTCTGTAAAGCAAAGTGAGATGGCAATCCAACATTTTGCGCATTTTTTAACTACAGAGGATGTCCTTTCTTTCATCCATTCATTCATTTTCCTTTGGCTTAGTCCAATGGTCTCAAACTCAATTCCTGGAGGGCCGCAGCTCTGCATAGGTTAGCTCCAACCACTTCCAACTCACACTTGCTTAATAGTCTCTAGTAGTACACTACGGCCAATCCAGTTTATTTAATTCACCTATGGCGCATGTGTTTGGACAGTGGGAGAAACTGGAGCACCTGGAGAAAACACACAACAACACGGGGAGAACATGCTAACTCCAGACCGAAATGCCAACTGACCTGACCGACTTTCGAACCAGCAGCCTTCTTGCTGTGAGGCAACAGCGCTAACCACTGAGCCACTGTGTTCCCCCACAATATATTTTATTGTTAATATATAAAAATATAGCTAATTAATTGTCTTTTTAAATCTTTACACTTTGATACTGTTCTTTAAACCGCTGGTTCCCAACCTTTTTAGCGCCGTGGACCGGTCAACGCTTGACAATTTTACTGCGACTCAGGGGTTGTGGACTATTGCTTTAAACCATTAGGTCTTACCCATTTAAGGAAGTTTTAAATAATTTAATTATACAGATTTTGAGTTTGATCACAATTAATTGTAAGATCATAAGTGCAGGTTAGAATTAGTACGCTGTTTTATTTTAATATGCATGTGAAAATTTTGATGCAGACAAAAAAAACAAAACATATGCATGAATTATGTATATATAGTTTACTCCCATTCAATATCTGCTCTATAAGTGATGTGTTACACTAATAAAATTAAAGTGAAATAAAAAAATATTAGGTTTGATTTAGGAATTAAGTGTAAAAATATAATCTAAATGTAAATAAAATATCAATTATGTTTTGTTTGACTATAAATATGTGAAAAATTTGATGCAGACACAAAAAAGCCTAAATATTTATATATAGTTTACTCCCATTCAGTAAATGCCCTATAAGTGATTTGTTACACTAATAAAGTTAAAGTGAAATACAAAAATATTCAGTTTTATTTAGGAATTAACCATAAAAGTTTAATGTAAAAGTATATAAAATATAATTTGTTTTATTTTAATATAAATATGTGAACAATTTGTAGCAGATACTAAAAAAAAAAATATGCTTAAATATTTTACTCCCATTTGGTATCTTCTCTATAAGTGATGTTATATTAATAAAACTAAAGTGAAATACAAAAATATTTGTTTTTATTAAGGTATTAAGCATAAAAATATAACCTAAATGTAAATAAAATATCATTTATGACTAGAAGTTATGCTTATGTGGTATAATAATCATAAACCTGACTCTCGTAAATAACACGCTTAATTAAAAACACACACAAAAAAGACATTGTATTAAACAAAAAGAGATTTAAAATTTCGGCTTATCCAGTATTGTCAAAAATACAACGAGTAAGAAATCTTGGGTGTTTCCCAGAACTGGGTTGCGGCTGGAATGGCATCGGCTGCCTAAAAAATATGCTGGGATAGTTGGCGGTTAATTCCGTTTAAATTTGAGTAAACGGGACATGCCTACACTCACATTTATCTCTGCCCTCTGCTTTGCATAATTTTTATAGTGTTTATATCTCTATCTTTTTAAAGCAGCTTTATAAAAAAATCACATTTTCATTTACAAATCAGAGCTTATCAGAGGTGACTAATGTCAACGTCCCGTCCGTATGGCAGAACGGTAGAGAAAAACACTCACTCTAGAGAAGCCAGCAGAGAGAAGAGGAAGGACAGATGGTTCCTCCTGATCTGACGGACTGTGAGAGAGAGAAAGATCAGTAGGAGGAACACGATGAAGACCGCAACACATGGATAATAGATGAAAGCGGGATCTGAGGCCTTACGTTTGGGGCATCACTGCCAAAATAACTGTGTGTTCAGACAGCTTGGTTGCTCGAATCATCCTGTTTAAAAATGCATACGAAAAGAGGAAAAAACAAAACAGGTCATCATTATTTCTTGTTGTATCACAAACACACTGTAACAAAATTCTACAAAATGCATGGGTCTTTTGACTTTAAAACATTTAACAAAGTGCCTGTTTTGACATGTTTGGTAGTTTGAAACTATATATTGTCTGAGATTGTCATGTTAATTATATACAGTTGTCAAATTTAGGGACGCTCCGATCAGGATTTTTGCAGCTAATACAAAGTACTGATTCCTTGTCATGGTGATCTGTCTATACCAAGTACTAACTCCTTTGTCATGGTAATCGGTCGATACAAAGTACTGATTCTTTGTCATGGTGATTGGCCAATACCAAGTATTGTTTCCTTGTCAAAGGGGTCGACCAATACCAAGTACTGATTCCTTGTCATGGTGATCTGTCTATACCAAGTACTAACTCCTTTGTCATGGTGATCGGCCGATACAAAGTACTGATTCCTTGTCATGGTGATCGGCCGATACCGAGTACTGATTCCTTGTCATGGTGATCGGTCGATACCAAGTACTAACTCCTTTGTCATGGTAATCGGTCGATACAAAGTACTGATTCTTTGTCATGGTGATCGGCCGATACCAAGTATTGTTTCCTTGTCAAGGGGGTCGGCCAATACCAAGTACTGATTTCTTGTCATGGTGATCTGTCTATACTAAGTACTAACTCCTTTGTCATGGTGATTGGCCGATACAAAGTACTGATTTCTTGTCATGGTGATCTGTCTATACCAAGTACTAACTCCTTTGTCATATTGATCGGCAGATACAAAGTACTGATTCCTTGTCATGGTGATCGGTCAACATCGAGTACTGATTTCTTGTCATGTGGATCGGCCTATACCAAGTACTGATTCCTTGTCATGGAGATCGGCCAATACTGATATTGATTCTGATGCTTCAAGCTTTATAATGCATAAAGCACATTTTCCCCCCAAGTGTGATACTTTAGTGGAGATCTTGTATAGCACTGAGTAATTAAGTAGAGTCAAATATGACTGGCAAATAATAATGTGTTATCTTGTAAAATGTGCACTCAGTCACATGGCTCTGTTTACTCACATAAAGGAGTTCTAAAGCGAACATATCTGTACAAATATACGCATCCTGCGTCTACTGTGGATCAGTTACTTTTCAAATTTGTGTTTGAGTGCGTCATGTATTACACACCAAGATGAATTCTGATTGGATATTTACCACAACACAGTTTCTAGTTTTCGTCGGTAGAAACTTGTTTGTCACAAAAAAAAAAAAATGACAAAAATTTTCATCAATGAAATTAGCACTGATCCCATTCATTCAAAGGTAAAATACCTTAAAATACACTGCTTTGCCGATAGGGAGAAGTGGAGTGATGCCATTGTGAAAAGAATCTGAGAATTTAACTAAAAATAAAGCTTTTTGACTTTCTTTAGACAAACAGAAGACACTATATTAAAAAATCTGTTATTATAAACAGTTATGATTATTGGGGGCTAAACTTTCTTGATTTTTCTTCTATGAATAATACATTCAAGATAAATTGGTTGAGGCAGTTTTTGAATGATCCTGATTCCCTTTGGAATGCGTTTACCAAATATATTTTCTCCAAAGTTGGTGGGCTCCCCTTTTTGTTGGTATGTAATTAAAATATTACTAAACTTCCTATTAAATGATCCAATTTCCATAAGCAAGTATTATTAGCATGCTATCTAATATATACAGTAAACACAACTTCAGTTCCTATAAATATTATATCTGGAATAACCATGATATTTGATAAAGAAATAAATCTATATCTTTTCCTAATTGGTTTGAGAAAAATATTTGCTTAGTCTCTCAACTTTTAAATAATCATGTTCATTTACTTTTTTATTCTCAGTTCCAAAGTAAATACTGTATTCCTATAACCCCACGAGAGTTTGCTATAGTCATGGACGCAATTCCCAGCGGAGTTATTGCCCTTTCAAAAAACTCTCTTGATTCTGTTCTCCCTTTTACTTCATTAACTAACGCTTGTAAAACAGTGATTGGAAATGTTTGTTTCACGCTTAACCCTTCTCTCAGAAATAGAAAGATTCATCATCTTTTTCAGAATGAAATAACCTCTATTCCTCATGTCATATTTCACTGGAATGATTTATTTCATGATATTCCTTGGAAGATTGTGTGGTCTTTAACCCCCAATTTTTTTTTAATTACAGATAAGGCTAAAGAGGTTTGCTTCAAATCGCAACATCAAGTTTCTCTGGTGAATGTTTACATAGAAAAGCTTCCTGAGAGGTATCACCTTTGTTCCTTTTGTGAAATAATAGATGAATCTCTCGATTATCTTTTCAGGGAACGTGGCCATGTTAAGATTTTTTATAAAGAATTCAGTTTATTTATACATGTCTCTCTTTTAGATATTTTTTCTTTGTCATACAAGGGTGTTTTATTTGGTTTTGATCATGTTGATAAAGTAAAAGATAAGGTCACACTTTATTTTGATCGTTCGTTTGTTGAATTAAGTTGCATTGCATCTAAATGTCAACTAATCAATATTAATAGAAATATTTTTTTCAACCCATTTCTAAACATAATAGTTGTAATAAGTCATTTCTAATAACTGATTTACTGAACTGAACTTTTAGATTTACCTTTTGATGACAGCACATAATATTTGACTTGATATTTTTCAAAATACAAACATTCAGATTAAAGTGCGATTCAAAGGCTTAATTAGAGTAATTAGACAAAACATTGTATAACAGTAGTTTCGTCTGCAGCCAATCAAAAAATATATTGCTTAAGGGGGCTAATAATATTGACCTTAAAATAGGTTTCAAAATATTTACATTTTTAATTTAATATTTAAATATTTTTATAAATAATAACTATTTTTATTCTAGCCAAAATAAAACAAATAAGTATTTCTTCAGAAGAAAAATATTATAGGACCTACTGTGAAAAAATCCTTGCTCAGTTAAACATCATTTGGGAAATATTAATAAAAAAATAAAAAAAAATTCACAGGATGGTGAATAATTTTGACTTCAACTGTAGTCGTTTTGAATAATCTTGATTACAATTATGACCAAAATAATTGTGATTATGATTTCTCCCATAATCGAGCAGTCCTAATTTTAATTTTAGATTAAAAGGGCAAACTATTTGTTTTTGTCTTAATGACATGCACAGATGAATTGTTCACCACAAAACTAGCAATGCAAGCTTCAAAATAAATATGATTGATTTACATGTGAAACATTACTTTAAAGGAGAAATGGAGAGAGAGCAGCTTGTTTTTCTTGTTCTCACCGACAGATGGCCTCGGCCTCAAAGTATCGCGGGTGTCGTCCATCGATGATGACGATCTCGTGGTGTTTGTCCAGGAAACACTCGAGCGCAGACTCAGGTGTGCGTGCGATGTTGCACCTGAAAGCGGCCCTCTCGCACGCCCACCAGAAGGCATCGCTCTGACTGTCCTCTTTGGCGAAGACCAGTAACACCTGAGCGACAGAGAGATGGAGAGAGGTGCTGTTGGTGGGAGAATGCGAAAGGTCAACACTCTTTCATCCCGGTCAGCGTTGTGAAATCATGGAGCTGCCATGTGAAATTCCACAAGGCTCAGGTCGTTCAGGACGCCTTTGTCGCTCTGAAGGCCCGCGTGTAGTGTTATATGTGCACCTACAGGGGGCGCAGTGACCTCAGCCAGCAAGGTTATAAACTCTTTTAAATTATCAAATCACTTTTATTGTCACATCATTAGCAGCATGAGTGCTATGATGAGTGAAAAGCTTAGCTGCTGGCTCCACACAGTGCAAGATACTCTAAAACAAAACAATATACTATTAACAAAGTTGACAATAAATACAGAAAAGAAAAACACGCATTACACATATACAGTTGAAACCAGAAGTTTACATACACTGTATAAAAAGACACATAACCATTTTAAAAAAGTCAGATGTTAATGTGACTAAACGTTTTCTCTTTTAGGTAAGTTAGGATTATCAAATATGTTTCTGTCATGCTTAATAGTAGAATAGTGAGAGAGATAATTTTGAGAAATTGTTATTACTTTTCTTGAAAGTCAAGTTTACATACAATAAGATTATTATGCCTCTGAAAAAGCTCAGATGACTTTGGAAGTTTCTGATTGGCTAATTGACAATATGGGTGAAACAGTGGCGCAGTAGGTAGTGCTGTCGCCTCACAGCAAGAAGGTCACTGGGTCGCTGGTTGAACCTCGTTGGCGTTTCTATGTGGAGTTTGCATGTTCTCCCTGCGTTCGTGTGGGTTTCCTCCGGGTGCTCCGGTTTCCCCCACAGTCCAAAGACATGTGGTACAGGTGAATTGGGTAGGCTAAATTGTCCGTAGTGTATGAGTGTGTGTGTGTGTGTGGATGTGTGTGTGGATGTTTCCCAGAGATGGGTTGCGGCCGGAAAAACGAATACGAAAGGTGTGCTAATAAATAGATTTTTTTCAATTCAACTAAGCTTCAAGAGACACTAAAAAAACAGTAGCTTCATTTGTAAAATCAATCTTAATTGATGTCCTCAATGTAATCAGCTAAATCTGACTTACAGAGAATAAGAGATTACATAAACAGCCTCAATGTGGGGGACAAGAAGTCAGTCATTAGGTTAACATTTTCTCTTACACAATTCCACTTTTAGTTAACCATAATTCCCACTAATACCACACACACGAACTCACGCAAATGCACACACACTTGCACGCGTGCAAACACAGGATAATCTGTGTGTCAATCCTTAAGATTATCCCCGGGGCCATGACTTCATGTTAAGAGGTCTTTAGGTGCCCTTGCTCGCTTGACTTACTGGATGAAGCAGGACAATGACACTAATGATGTCACTGTAAAGCCTGCTCTTTTCAAAGGGACCTGCAGTGATGATGTTTCAGTGACATCACACAAGATTATGAGAGATTATAATGCATGACTTCAGTGGTGTGAAAATGTATTTGCCATTACCAACTTGTTTTTTTTTTTGTCACACCTTGCACACCCTGCATCACATCATGCAGTTTTGAAATGAGGGTTATAATTATTATCGTTTTCCGAGTACATTCACAATGGTGTGATCAGCCTTGGCTTGTCCCTGAAGCATACAATCACACCGGTGTGATTAGAATGTTCAGAGCGCACGTCATCAACTGCAAAAATGCTAATCTGACGGCATGTGCTGAAGGACAAAAAGAGGTGCGCAGCACTTGTCCTAAATTACAATTTATCCATGCTTTCAAACAAGTAATATTTAGAATATTTCAATAATGTTTTTACAAGCAAAACATATTATTTAGGTTTGTAAAATACAAAGGAATTGTGCAGTAATAATTATTTTAATATAACTGAAGGATGTGCTTTGTTCACGTAAGATACACACTGTTTAAGTCACTACAATATTTTTTCTATTTCTCTTATTTTTGCTGTAGGCCTGACGTGAATATCCTCAGCTGTATCCTATCTGGACTTCAACCTCTCCTGCAGCATGGTGAAGTCTAGATGGGATACAGCTGAGGGTACTACCATCAATATAGCATAATTTTTGTGACACTGTACAACAAATAATATTTTTACACTACGGTTTAGGATCGAGATAAGAGTAGACGATAATAAAATACAATTAATGCGTAATTTAATAAATAATATAAATACTTCTCTGTTATTTCTGAATGCACCTTTCTAGCAACAACGGCAGCGCCCATTACCCATCATTTAACAAATTATATATAGATAGACAGATAGCAAATAAAATTTTGAAAAAAATAAAAATAAATAAAAAACGTTAAAAAAAACTTTTAAAAACAAGCAAAAGTTTTTAAAAATGTATAAAAACAATAGACACAATTAAACAATAAATAAAAAAAACTTACATCAAAATCACTCAAAGTTTACCAAATTATTATTATTATAATTATAATAATAATAATAATTATTATTATTATTATTATTATTATTATTATTATTATTATTATTAACTATTATATAAATAATAACAATATTACTACTGCTACTACTACTACTACTATTACTACTACTACTACTACTAATACTAATATTAATAATAATAATAACTGCAAATGTTACTGAATGGCAACATTAATTTATGAAATGGTTATAAAGGCCAAACCAGCAAAAATGTGCATTTAAATAAACAAACACATAAACAAAAAAATGTTGATAGATACCATAAAAATAAAAGATCCAATAAATAAACAAAAAAAGTTTAAAATGTACAGTACAAAAAAAAATAAAAATAAAATTATATATATATATATATATATATATATATATATATATATATATATATATATATATATATATATATATATATATATATATAAAACAATATCGCCCTTTTTTGCAATAAACAAAAAATAAATAAATAAATGACTAAAATTAAATAAAAATGACTAAAACTTTAACAAATGAAATATTAATTCATCCATTTTCTTTTCAGTTTAGTGCCTTTATTAATCTAGGGTCGCCACAGCGGAATGAACTGCCAACTTAACCAGCATATGTTTTTTACGCAGGGGATGCCCTTTCAGCTGCAACCCATCACTGGTAAACAACCATACACTCTTATTCAAAAACACACTATGGACAATTTAGCTTTCCCAATTCACCTATGGGCTAAAGCACGCCTTTGGGCTTGTGGGGAGCACCCAGAGGAAACCCACACCCACAAAGGGAGAACATGCAAACTCCACACAGAAATGCCAACAGACCCAGCCGAGACTCAAACCAGCGGCCTTGCTGTTGACACGACAGTGCTACCCACTGCGCCACCGCGCCTCCCACAAATTAAATATAATTATTATAAGTATTTATATAATAATTATAATAATAATTATTATTATTATCATGATTAATAAACACTGCAAATGTTAGTGAATGGCAAAATGTATTTATGAAAAGGTTATAAAGGCCAAACCTGCAAAAAATAATCACACAAGCAAAACATTGATATATACCAAATATATAAATAAACAAAATCCAATGAATAAACAAATGTTAAAATTAAAAAGTAAAAAAAAAAAATAATAAAAAAATATATAGCCATATTTTAACAATAAACTAAGTTTTGTGGTTTGTCCGCTGTGGCGACCCCAGATTAATAAAGGGACTAAGCCAAAAAGAAAATGAATGAATGAATGAATATTATTATTATTGATGATATAATAATAAACACTGCAAATGTTACTGAATGGCAACATTTATTAATGAAAAGGTCATAAAGGCCAAACCTACAAAAATAAACAAACACACACACAAAAAAAAAACATTGCTAGATACCAATAAATAAATAAATGAATAAATAAAATCATCCCATAATTAAACTAAATAAAATTGTTAAAAATGTAAAAGTTAAAATAATTAATAAATACAACTATTATTATTATAAAAAATATTAAATTATTAAATTGTTATTAATTAGAAATTATTATTATTATTATTATTATTATTATTATTAATACCAACAACTATAAACACTGCAAATGTTACTGAATGGCAACATTTATTTTTTCGAAAAGGTTATTAAGGCCAAACATAAACAAAAATAAACAAACACACAAACAAGCAAAACATGGAAGCATACCAAATATAAATAAACAAAATAAAAATGTTAAAAATGTTAAAAATGAAAATAAATAAATAATAATAATACTAATAATAATATTAAAAAACAATATAGCCATATTTTAACAATAAACTAAAAATATAAATAAAAAATGACTAAAACTTTAACAAAATAAAAAAAACTGTAAGCATTGATAAAAACTACAAATGTTACTAAACAACAATGCTAATAAAAACTAATTAATCAAAAGGTTATAAAAGACATTTTATCATGTGGAAATATTACTGGAAAATGATCCATGTACATTTAAATAAACAAACAAACAAACAAACAAATGAAGGGATAGACACCAAATTAAAATGAAAAAAAAAAAAAATTAAATAGGTAAAAAAGAAAAAAACAAAACAAAAAATGAAATGGCTGTACCTGTATGGGTTCATGGCTCAGTCGCATCGGCCCCAATCGATCCTCAGCACCAGACACCTGCAAAAGATTGAGGAAAAAACAGACACGTTTAGTCAAAACAATAAAAAAAAAAGTTAACTAATTTAGGAATGCACTCAGTTTTACCATCTCCGAGCCCTGGAGTAACATTCTGACATTCCTGTCCTTGTTTTTAAGCCCACATTGCTGTTTGGACACGCTTTAATGTCCACAACCGTTTACAAATCCATGCCAGAGCAATGAAGAAAAAAATCGATTCTGATTTAATCACAGATCAGATGTAGCACAAACTCCAATCTGAGTGTGTTATCCGGCTTTGTTTTCCTTATTCCGCTCATCAAAGCACTTTATAAGAGCTCACACACTTCAAACGGCAGCCATAGGATGTAATATACATTGTAAAAAAGAAAAGTTAAGGGCTGGTTTTTATGGCGCTGTCCAAACGGAGCGGCGACATTGTTGCAATGACAGAGAGCAGGTGGCTCAAAGCTTTCTGCGTCATCCACTTAAACACTGTACATAAGCCTCTCAGCAGGCTCACACACTCACTCACACACAAGGCTAAAAACGGATCATAATCACTGTAAAAGCAGCATATGTAATACACTTTTCATTTTTGGTTAATACGTTAGTTGCATTGCACAATCTTTGTTTTTCATACACTTTCGAGTAAAAAGAGATGAACATCGTTAGAATTAAATCAGTTTGTTTGAGAAGTCTTATGTTAAATGCCTGGCTGACACACAAAATAAATAGTACACACTGTATCAGAACACTGAAAATGTCTTCAAATGTTTGATTTACTCATGTTATTCATTCATTTTCCTTCAGCTCAGTCTTTTATTTGTCAGGGGTCGCCACAGCGAAATGAACCACCAACTATTCCGGCATATGTTTTACGTAGCAGATGCCCTTCCAGCCGCTACCCAGTAAACACAAAAATACTCTCGCATACACACACACACACATACACTACGGCCAATTTACCTTGTCCAATTCACCTGTAGCGCATGTGTTTGGACAGTGGGGGAAACCGGAGCACCCGGAGGAAACCCACGCCAACACAGGGAGAACATGCAAACTCTACACAGAAACACCAACTGGCCTAGCCGGGACCTTCTTGATGTGAGGCAATAATGCTAATCGTGCTAGAATGAAATATTGTTATAAACATATTATACATATTACATATTGCAATAATAATATTATAAATATTATAGCACTGAAAATATTTTTAGCGCCTTGACATAAAATAAAAAATGAAATAAAGTAAAAAAAATAATTTATAAATAAATAAATACTATTTAAATGCTAGTTGCCGATTAAAAGAAAATTTGTCTTTTCATTTAGCTGAACTTGAAAACAATAAAACAAAAACACTATAGCCATATTTTAACAACAACCAAAAAACTATTAGAAAATGGCAAAAACACAATAAAAAATTGCAAAAATGCAACTAAATAAAATAGAAATATAGGACAAATGTTACTGACTGACAAAAACATAAAGATATAAATTCCATTTTATTATGTTGGAAGATGGGCGGCACGGTGGCTCAGTGGTTAGCACTGTCACCTCACTGCAAAAAGGTCACTGGTTCCATATATATATATATATATATATATATATATATATATATATATATATATATATATATATATATATATATATATATTTTTTTTTTTTTTTTTTTTTTTTTACTTTAGAGCAAATTTTAAAAAAAGAAATGCTGGTAGCCATTGATTTTGACTTGATTTATGAATCACAAACAAACATCTATTTATTTATTAATTTTGAAAAAAATATTCTTTAATTTTCTACTGAAGACAAAAATCATCAAAAAATCAGAAGTTAAACTGTAGTTAAAAACATTACACAGTAAGTAATCCAAAACTAAATCAATAAACTATCATGAACATTACATATACTAAGAGAAAATGAGTAACCTTGCTAAAATGTTAACTAAAGTTCTGAAAAAGTCCTGTTTATTAATTATTATTTTTTTGTTTTTCTTTACTCTTTTATTAAACAGTACGCACTGCAAAAAAAAATGCTCTTTTTACTTGTTTTTTTTTTGTTTAATATCTTGTTTCTAGTCCAAATACCTACAAATTCTTAAATCAAGACACATTTTCTAGACAAGTAAAACAAATTGTCTTGTTTTTAGAAATAACACAATAACATGAAGTGAGTTTGTCCTTAAAAAAAAACTAAATAATCTGTCAATGATTATTTAACATAATATTGTCAAAACGAAAAATATTAAAAAAAGATTAAAAATATTATTTTGCTTGTTTAAACGAAAAACTCACTTAATTTTGACATATTATTTCTGATAATTTCTCATAAATATTCTTTGGTCATCTGCCTATATCATGTTAATTTTGTCTATTCAGAACCCCAGACTTCCTTTATTAATATTAGTGTATATAATATAGAATAATATAATATAATGTAATGTAGTATAATATAATATACTAAAATATGATATAATATAATATAATATAATATAATATAATATAATATAATATAATATAATATAATATAATATAATATAATATAATATAATATAATGTAGTATAATATAATATGATATAATGTGATATAATGTAATATAATATAATATAATATGACATAATATAATATAATATAATATGATATAATACAATATAATATGATATAATGTGATATAATGTAATATAATATAATATAATATAATATAATGTAGTATAATTTAATATAATATGATATAATATAATATAATATAAAATAATATAATGTAATATAATATAATATAATATAATATAATATAATATAATATAATATAATATAATATAATATAATATAATATAATATAATATAATATATACAGGCTATTACTGACACTAATGTTTCCTAAGATTTCTGCTTTCTCAAAAACAGTCAAAAAAAAAAAGAGAGAACATTTTGCCTCTAGAAAAATCAGCAACTTATTTGACCTTGTGCTAAAATGCATCACATCAATAAAACAAAATGAAAAAAAAATGCTCCCTACATTTCCCACGTTTCATAAATGACTTTTTTTCTTTCTTCTCTTATTTCTGACCCTATGCCTGACATTTGTCTCTTCTTGGCACTGCCGTTGTTCATCTCATTTCCTAGAAAACGACACACAAGCAAAACCACACACTCCGCCAAAGCTTAAGTCCACAAAAATAACCAAAACAATTAGCTAAATCTACCGTGCAGAATTTACTGTCAGAACAGTCGCCATCAGATTCAATTTTACAAGCGATGTGTGTTCTGTAAAAACAACCAGAGTAAACATGACTACAAATAAATCTAGCTGAAATCTCATAATGTTTCACTCATATTTGTGATGCCATAGGTTCATTTATTAACTGAAATCTCCAAATGTTTAATTCATATTTGTGAAATCAGATTCTTAGGTGAAAATAACATTACATCTGATCATAGGAGTGTGTGATATTCCTATGAAAAAACATTCCTATATATTTTTGGTCATAATAATTAAACAATATTTTGCTGAGTGCCTGTTATTATAAATAAATATTTAAACGATTTAAAACCATTAGTAGATACAAACTGGTCCCAGCCCTAATGAGTGATTCACTGAATCATTCCTTCAACCTATTTGTTCAAAACTACTTATCCAATATTTAAGAATGGATCGATACCTCAAATGAATTAATCCAAAAACTGAAATATTAAGAAACAAAACACTACACAGTATAAAATGATTAGTTGACTTTACTTAAGATAAGAGAGTAGACCTGTTGCATTTAAAATGATTAGTTGACTTTACTTAAGATAAGCGAGTAAACCTATCACTTTAAAAACGATTAGTTGACTTTACTTAAGATAAGCAAGTAAACCTGTTGCTTTTAAAATGATTAGTTGACTTTACTAAAGATAAAACAGAGTAAACCGGTTGCTTTTAAAATGATTAGTTGACTTTACTTAAGATAAGTGAATAAACCTATCACTTTAAAAAGGATTAGTTGACTTTACTTAAGATAAGCAAGTAAACCTGTTGCTTTTAAAACGATTAGTTGACTCTACTAAAGATAAGCCAGTAAACCTGTCGCTTTTAAAATGATTAGTTGACTTAAGATAAGCGAGTAAACCTGTTGCTTTTAAAATGATGAGTTGACTACTTAAACTAAGTGAGTACTTGAGATAAGTGAGTAAATCTGTCACTTTTTAAATGTTTAGTTGACTTTGCTTAAGATAAGTGAGTAAACCTATCACTTTAAAAACGATTAGTTGACTTTACTTAAGATAAGCAAGTAAACCTGTTGCTTTTAAAACGATTAGTTGACTCTACTAAAGATAAGCGAGTAAACCTGTCGCTTTTAAAATGATTAGTTGACTTAAGATAAGCGAGTAAACCTGTTGCTTTTAAAATGAGTTGACTACTTAAACTAAGCGAGTACTTGAGATAAGTGAGTAAATCTGTCACTTTTTAAATGTTTAGTTGACTTTACTTAAGATAAGCGAGTAAACCTATCACTTTTTAAATTATTAGTTGACTTTACTTAAGAAGTGTGTAAACCTGTCGCTTTTAAAATGATTAGTTGACTGTGCTTAAGATAAGCGAGTAAACCTGACGCTTTTCAAACAATTAGTTGACTTTTTAAGATAAGTGAGTAAATTTTGTGCTTTTAAAACGATTAGCTAACTTTACTTAAGCGAGTAAACCTGTTGCTTTTAAAATGATTAGCTGACTTAAGATAAGCAAGTAAACCTGTTGCTTTTAAATAGATTAGTTGACTTTACTTTAACTTAGTGAGCACTTTAGATAAGTGAGTAAATGTCACTTTTAAACGATCAGTTCACTTTACTTAAGATCAGTGTGTAAACCTGTCACTTTTAAAACGATTAGTTGACTTTACTTAAGATGAGCAAGCAAACCCTTTCACTTTTAAAATGATTAGTTGACTTTACTTAAGATAAGTGAGTAAACCTGTTGCTTTTCAAACAATTAGTTGACTTTACTTAAGATAAGTGAGTAAACCTGTTGCTTTTCAAACAATTAG